ATATATATATTATGGTGGTAATGGAATAAAATATTAAGATAGAGGAAAAATACCTATCCCCCACCTCAGACAAAATTGTATTGGATTTGATTTCATTAAATCTTAAAAAAATCCAACCTACTTTATTTTTGTTGGAGTCACTAATGAACAACAAGACAGACAAGAAATAGTAATGAACAAGTCTAAAATAGTGGGCAAGAAATAGTGATGAACAAGTCTAAAATAAATTGGTTTTAACAATTTTTCTCTTTTAGATCTCTTAAATATAAAAGAAAATTATTTAAATCATGACATCATCTTTGATTCAAAATATTAAAATAAAGTATTTATAATTTTTATATTAATTTAAATTATTTATTTCTAACCAATGGGTCACTTTGAAGGAATATTCAGATTCTTAATTAATCATTTTCATATAAATTATTGTCCTTACCAGAAGACTTTTGGTAAACCTTAGAAAAATCATTGCTAGAGGATAGTTCCATTCATACGTAGCATGTGTTTTCCATTACTTGTCTTATTCTTATCCACTCTTCGTACTATAAGAATTTTGGTAAACTCTATCCCTATTCTGCGGTTCCTCTGCAAGGCGTGTGCATTGGAACTTCCTATTTCCACATTTTGTTTGCTGCCAAATTCAATATCAAATTCCTCCAATAAGAAAATTAACACCACTACTTTTCTCTTCGATTTTTCCAACCTGAAATATAGTCTATAAATACGACACTCAACTAAGCAGCTTGAATAATCTTAGACAACAAAAAAAAATGGTTACTGTTCCAGGCACAGGGAAGAATTGGCTAAGATACTTTCAGTATGAAGAAAGAAGAGACACAGCAACCGACACAAGAAACATTCTTCTAATCGTGTTTACTTTGGTTGCTGCAGTGACATTTCAGGCTGCAGTGAATCCTCCCGGTGGAGTTTGGCAACAAACTGAGGGTGATAAAAAAGCAGGAGAGGCAGTATATGCTTTGGATACAAAAGCTTACTATGTTTTCCTCATCTTCAACACTTTGGCCTTTGCTAATTCCATGTTCATCATTCTGTCACTGACACACAAGTTTCCTTTCCAATTGGAGATATGGGCAGCCACTGTTTCGATGTCTGTGAGTTATGGATCAGCCATTTTTGCAGTCTCTCCAAAGGATGCTATCCGTTTACGCTTTGTCCTTATCGCTGCTGCTGGGCCCTTTGCCCTTAGATTTTTGGTTCTTATGTTCAACTTGTTCTTAAGGAAACATTTGGTGAAGGAGACACACACTACACCAAACACTGTGCAACTCTAGCAAGGACTACCTTCATTGTTTTTTCTATAGCTTGGAATGGATTTTGGATGAAATACTCCAAAACTTGTTTTCTTCTTGGTGAAACAGTGACTGTTAACATTCACGATGGATAATTATTTCTGCACTCTCCTATTTCAGTATAAATAGTTTAGTGTACAAAACTAGGTCTGAGATACTTCAAAAATTATATTATGTACTAGAAGAATTCCATATTTATTTATGAATTTGCTAGAAGCGGTTTTCGCTATAAACTCTTTCTGCGTGAGAAAAATCTCTAAAATAATTTTTTTCTAAATTTTTAGTTTTATCCATAAGTTAGTCCTAGTTTATAAAAAAAAGTTATTTTTCCTTTACTTATAAAGTCAATTTTTATGTTTTTTCCATTATTGAAATTGTTAATTTTTTATTAAAAATATTGGTGCATGAAAATATAAATTTAGGTTTGTTGATGGATGCATTAATTCATGCACCAGGCAAATTGGATTCAATGTTTGAGTGCTGGGAAGGATGTAATGTGTTACTTTAAATAATTATACTTTAATTTTGACCGGTGCGATTTCTTTTAAGACAAATGTTTCTATTTTTTATAAGAACACTTGAAATTGGATTGTAATTTATAACTTGTCATTGTCGATCAGGTAAGTTGATTTTTTAGTTTTATTTTTTTTTCTCACCAAATATAATATCATCAATATTTCTATGTTTGTTTGTGGAGGGTCAGTTTATCATTGTTATAACTATTGAACTGTTGTACTTTGGTTTGGATGAGTGTCGAGTTGTTAGTGTCATAATTATCAAACTGTTTTACTTTGGTATAGATGATTGTTGGATTGGTCGTTTGGTTTGGTCTGGTCTAAATGAGTGTCAAACTGGTTTGGTTGAATTGAAGATCTTTAGCAAAAAATACAATAACTTTCTTCATGATAGTTGAGATAGTCAAATATTGTGACAAAAATGGTAGATATATGCACATATATGCACCAAAGAGATACCACATGCAAATATATGTATGGTGGTCAACGAAAAAAGAAGAAAAAGAAATAGTAGAATTTTTGGTGGGCTAACCTTATGTTGTATATGGATTGAGCTTGTCTCCACGTTTTTCATGTCGAGCTTGTCTCCTATCGAGTTTACTAAGGTTGTCTCCTGCCTAGCTGGTCTCCATTTTCTCCTGTCAAGCTTTAATGGAAATGAGTTTGTCTTCTTACCAACTTTGTCAATCTCTCTTTTAAGTCCAACACGGGATCAAAATTCCAATTATATCTACATAAAACAACAAACAATTAGAATAATAGAGATGAGAGGAGAATGTAGGGTTGTATTAACGGTGNATCCAACAGAAGATGGAGAGCATAGCATATTTTCAGTCAATCAAAATAGTTCAGAGATTTGGCAAAACAGCTATTCATGTAACCATCATACCAAGGTTTTGTGAACAAGGAACAATTGCACCATAGATATACCTTCAAATAAACCATGACAAGGTTTCAAAAAATAGTGATCATCTTAACAATTGAGGATACTTATTGTTGGCTAAATTGAAATGAGCATATGATACGATATTACTGATCTATTCAGGACAAGAAGAACATTCTTACTGTATACACCATTTGACCTATCTCAATTTCAATCACCTAAAGGTCACCCTGATAAACTCAACATTCATCCAAGGATTGGATGCTGAATTCAATCAAAGATAGGATATATCAATTAGTCGGCATGGCGGGAAATTTCCTACTATATATGCAAGAACTACTCATTTCTAATACGACAGTACCATCAATAGATAACTTTAGACCATCTCAGTCCAAAATAAAGCAGGACACAAAATGCAACAGTTTAAACTCAAAATACAATACTTTAGGGTTAATCAAGTAGCAATCAAATGATCTTATACCCGTAACGATCAAATAATCTTTATAATCATGTCCACTAAACTATCCACATTCTTGGGATAAAAAATCACCATATATCCAGCTCTCATCACAAATAAACCTAAGCCTATACACTGATTTGGTATTTCTATCCCATCTACTTCTTTTCCCTTTCTTCCCTCTCTATTTACCTGAAACAATGCTATGTGGAAAAGCAAATTCATTAATTCAAAATTTTATTCCTTATTCCAATTTTACTTCTAAAACCATGAAAACGAACTAGACACAAGTTACATGTCTCATCATTCTCACTGTTACAAAGTATAAAAACGTAATTTTAACCAATTAGAAAATTTTGAAAGGATAAAACAGACTAAATTTTGTAAGTGCCTTTGGCGATAACCTCTAACATCAATGGAACTTTAAGTTGGCAATTTGCATCATAAAAGTTTGCATTGAGTTGCACAATAAAAGTTTTACATAAGGAGAGTGTATCCTCTCTAGTACAGGGTAAGTTAAGTTGATGAGAGATACACACAAACCTATCCCTCAAAATCATCACACTTATATTAGTTTTTGTGTGTATATCTTTCCAACTAAGACTCCCATTCTGATGATAGAACAATATCAAAATGACCTTTTAGAATTGCACGTAAGTTTTGTCCACTCGATTACTCCAGCCAACCCAATGAATTAAACTAAGTATATACCAGGACCTTTATTAAGCAGAAAAACTAGTTCTTAGAAAAGTAAAACCCTATTGTTATTCCACTTTCAGGTCTCAAAAAACCCATCCATGCAACAAGGTATACTAATATAAATATAATCTCACGATCCGCGTCACAAGAAAGAAGAATACACCACGCACCGAATCCAGGTCAAACACCGCTCTTGACGATGTTCCTCCGCGCCAGGAACCTTGCGATTGGGGGAGTGAGCGCGACGGTGATGGGAACGCGCACGGGGAACAGCGCCTTGTTGCAGAGGATCGCAAGCGTGAAGGCTCCGCCAGCGGAGGCGGCGAGCTGCGCCGTCCGGTTCTTAGGAGGTTGAGAGGCGTCTTCGTCGTTAGGGTTAGGGTTTTTCTGGTCGGAGACGGCACCCATGTGGAACTTCTCGAGAATGGCTTCGACGTCGACGTTGTTCTTTATGGCGACGTATAGACTGGCAATGGAAACTGTGGAAACGCTCAGGTGAACGCCGAGAGCCACTTTGCCATATTTCTTCATCAGTTCGCGGAATCGACCACCAGCCATTGTTTCTGTGTGGTTTTACTTCTTTGAGATTGATACAACGTTGTTCCACTGAGGATAGCACCGTGCTTTGTGTATGTATGCGAGAGAGATAGACAGAGAGAGAAAGAGAGTGAGAGCGAGAACAATGGAGAATTTTAGCTAGAATAGGAACGGTGGCGGTGAAGAAGGCGGCGGCTTCTCTTCGGTGAGTGGCTTAGGGTTTTAAACTTCTAAAGGTAACTAACCCAGCATTACGACACCGTTTCAGAAATATGAATATTAGCTTTATATATACACGTGGAAATACATGTGTCCTTTACATAATTAATTTAATAATTTAAATAAATAATGATTCAAAATACTAAAATTATATAATAATTATTTTAATTTAAAAATACGTAAATTAAAATTGATAATCATTTAGAAAATAAAAATTTAGTTTAAAATAGATAAAATTT